AGAGCGAAAGAAGCCCACTTTTGAGAAAAGAACTGAAAAACAGTTTCTGATAAACTTGAAAAGTGTCAATATTCATTTCTTTAACATTTTTTGTTAGTATTTAAAAGAATATTTAAAAAATCCATTTTTTACACATGAAAACTCATTCTCTCTGATATGAGAATGAACTTAGAAAGTGTAAACATTCATTTCTTTAACCTTTTTTTGTTAGTAGGGAAAGACTTTGAAAAAAATCCATTTTTTACACATGAAAACTCATTCTTTAGAGCGAAAGAAGCCCACTTTTGAGAAAAGAACTGAAAAACAGTTTCTGATATCAGAATAAACTTGAAAAGTGTCAATATTCATTTCTTTAACATATTTTTGTTAGTGAGAAAAGACTTTTGGAAAAAATCCATTTTTTCCACATAAAAACTCATTCTGTCTTCTGTAGAGCGAAAGAAGCCCACTTTTAAGAATATACAGTAAACTGGGTGAAAATCTTAGCAAACGTTTCTTTATATCATCTTTCCAAAGAGCCAGGAGTCATTAACCCCCCCCCCCAAAAAAAAAGTTAAATCTCAGACAGAAAATCTTTAGCATTAAAAGTAAATAAACGATTTTTGAAGAATCAGATTTGCATTTTAAAACTGGAACCATGGCAGATTTATCCAGGATGCAGCATTAAATGGCACTATTAAACTATTATTTACTTGCAGAAACTGATGACCAGTATAAAATGGGTCAATATTTTTAGTATATTTGAGTTGTGATTAGATTTCCACATTATSTTGCTGTTGATTGACTAAAGACCTAAAATTGTGTTGTTTGACATTAGACTACAATTTTTTTTGAAATTTTTGGTGAAAATACCTCAATCTTTTTYATGTACCATATATTTGTTTGATGTATTCATTTTGAAGCCCCTCTTGAAGATAAATAAAGAATCAATCATTGCATTCAGCAGAGTTCAAAGCAGCCCACAGCATGATAGAACCTCCACCGTGCTCCACTATAGGAAGTGTTATTTTTTTGTCAAGCAAAAATAAGCTAATAAAATGTAATCCCAAAATAGGAGGCTGCACTAATTGATTTAATGAATAGGAACCTCAATCACCCAGGAGACGCCGACGTCTCTGATGACTTATCGTGTTTAAAGCCAGACCATCATAYGAGGGATTCTTTTTTTAAAAAGCCTCCGCAGAGCGGGATTGTTTTTAACCGGGGCGAGCATCTGGCCTCTTTTTTCCCTTCCCCTCCTTGCTGCCTTAATTACACAACACAATGGCGACGAGATCTGCCTGTAATCTCCAGCACCCCCTCCCCCCAACCCCACCAAATTCCCTGCCTGCCACTAATTCAATATAAATGTAAATTACCTAGAGAAAAAATAACCAAATCTCATTTTATTTACATGACTAATCACAATAAAGTCAGGCAGATGAAATATGAATGATATATATGTCTGGCGTTTTGTGGGGGGTGAGGGGGGATCCGTGGGGTCTTATTTTCTACCATCTTTGTTATTTGTTTTTGGTTGCATCAATATACCTTTTGGACTGATGCTTGCCTTGCTGTAATAGATGTGTGTATCTATTTTCTCCTGTCTGATTGTATTCACACTGCCAAGGGCACCAGAAGGCAATATGTTATACTTTTTTTTAACAATACACATGTCAAACAGATACAATTTTGCAGAATAAAAAAAGACTTGAGCACCGCAGGCAATCCATTCAGACAGCAATAAGCTTAGGTGTGATTTGTACTCTCTCTSTCTCCCTTCGCACCCACAGACGTCGCACCACAGGACCCCTTTGAGGAGGAGTTTCGCTGCCTCAGACAGAACACACTTCCTGGCTTCGGCCTGCACCAGCGCTACCTGAGGAACTCCGCCCAGAACCCCTCAGAAGAAGAGGAGGAGCACGGCCCTCAGAGTCAGGGACTAACAAGAGGTCCGCCCAGCTGCCACCGCAGAGCTGATTAATTACCAACACACTCAGCTCTCCTTTAAAGAGTCTTAATGAGCGCAGCTAATTGTCTACTTTTGTGTCTGGCGGCCTCACAAAGCCCGACGACGAAGAGCGGCGCGTGTGATTGGCAGATGTAAACACMGAGGGCAGAGATGTTCATTAGGCAGCTCTGTTCTACGTCGCTGTAACGACCTGAGGTCAGAGTCCGCCCCCTGTTTTCCTTCACGGGGTCAAGAAGCCAGACACAAAAAGCTGAGCAATTATCTGCAACGTGGAGTCGGTGAATGTTTTCTAATGGCGGCTTCGTTAGTTTCAGAAGCAACCTTTAATTTCACCGAGCGTGGTTCCCGCTGAGACGCAAACAAAGGCCCTGATTTTCTCTCTTGGATGCACAAATATGAATCCTCGGAGAGTCGAACAGACAAAGTTCTGCCGATTCAGACAATACTCATCTTAACTATACATCATTTGTAAACAACTTTTCATTTGACTGAGAGGCAGCTCAGCCCCCCTCCCCACCCCACAGCGCACATGCACACACTCCCCTTCACAAAAAGAGAGGCACACTGTAACAAAATGGATCCAATTAAAACTCTAAGAGCGTTGCACTCTGCGCGAACGTTCATTAAGCACGTTAATCCAACTAATCAGTGAGATCAAAACAACAAACACAAAACAGCCTCACGACCCATAAACAACACGAGCGCAAATTGATTTTGTGCAAAATCCAAACCTCAAGTTCAATCTTTTTTCCTAACCTCTCTGTCCCCTGTCAACAAGTAGACTGTAAATATCAGATGTATTCTGCTGCTTCTCCGTTTTCTGGCACATCTTTTACCCATTWAAAAAAAAGATGATGGAATGTATATGCAAAGTAAATATCTTAATTTGAACTCATTTAAACATACAGATTTGATGTAATTGGATTGTTTGTTGTTTGTTCAGTGATTATTTGCTGAAAGTTTCACTAAAATCTGTTCATTGCTTCAGAAGATATTAGACTAACAGTGGTGGGCACAGTTTCGCTAATCCGCTAATGGCGGAGCTACCTTCCCTTTTAGTGAATTGTTTTTTCTTTTTTTACTTTTTTTTTTTGCTAAACTGTTAGCAGGCTGATTAGCTTCCACTAAATTAGATTCTGCTAATTTTAAGTCCAAAAAAAAAAAAAAAAAAATCAAACTTGTAAAATGTCTATTTTTTCCCTCCATGCAACTTATAAGCAATGCTGGATGTGCTTGTAGCATCTTTAGCAGTTAAACCTCAAATTTAAGCATGCTAAAAATAAATCATATTAAACTAAATATAAATAATAAATAAGTAGTAAATTAGTTTATTAGCTTCCACAGTTTTTTATGGACTGTTTAGTGGTTTAGCATTAGCAAAGCTAAGATTCTTAGTGGTTATTGAAGCCAACCTTTTGGTGAGCTATGCCCACCACTGAACCCTAAATGAGTAGCTCGTGAACATTCGTGTCTCATCAAACTGGTTTATTTTATTTTTTAGGACACGTGGACTCCAAGAGGAAGAAACTGTGGCTAAAAGAAGCGGATTCCAGAAAGAAACGATCTGCTCGACTCTTTCCTCGTTTCAGTGGATTTGGGACATTTTTTTAAACACGTTACACATACCGGTACATGTTACGGGTTGGGGTTTTTTTTTTGGCAAAAAAAAAAGGGCCATCAGGTACATGTGGCATTGGATTGTTTTGCAAAAGAAATAAAAATTAAAAATAAAAATCATCAACCCAACAGCATTACTGCTGCATTACATCTTATCTTGTCTATTACCTGCAACACAAACTTTATGTTCTGCTTTTATTTGCCAAACAATATAGCCTGCAGTGAGCGGTTAAACATTATAAGATATGCTACAGATGTTCACATGTGTTTGTTTGGCCTTGGTCTTATCCAGACCTTAAATGAACTTCTTATAGCTTAACTTTTCTGATGTCGGCAGCTTTTGTTTTTTTTGAAGGGTTTGAAAGAATTCAACGGCAAGGACAGTTAGGTTAGATACACGCATGAGAGATGCTGCTTTAATTCAGCGTGTGAGAGTCAGCGAAGGTCAGGATGCTTAATGCTGCTTTTTTATTTCCTTTCCATTATTGTTTAACAAAGATAAAGGCAGATGATTGGAGAAGACAGTTTAAAAGTGCTAAAATATTTGAGAGTATTTGAAACCGTGTGCTCAGTCCAACAAAGGTGCTGAGTAATGCCAAGAGTACTATAAAAATCCAGTACTGCCCCTCTCAAAGCCAGTTTTTAAGCATTATTTGTTTATTCAGCAACACCTTCCACAGGTGTTTTTGTAAAACACGAAGGTTTTTCTCATTTGATGACATATTAGGATGAGATTAAATGCAGAAATGTGAAAGAAATGTTCATTTTTTATGGACTCACCATTAAATGCTCATATGAAACATTTCGTCAGCGTTGGTCAACGTTTCTCATTGTAAAGGTATCACAATTTATAATGACCGAACCCAAAGGACTGACCAAAAACATGACTGCTTATCTAGAACAAATTTATATGAAAAACAAACAAAACAATGGAACAAGTACTCTGTTTTTTCTGTCAGAAATGACAACAGGAGTAAAGGTTTGCATCAGGTAATGCTTTCAAATGAATGATTATAGTTATTAAAATGCATTATTTATTTAATTTAATAAATGTTTAGCTATTCATTTAATACTTCTCTTTCCCCCCACCATTTAAATTGAATAGAAACAATATATTAATATGAATAAAAGCTTCCATACACCCACCAATGCAGATCTTAGATCAGATACAATCACAATCAAGCGCTGATGTGTTTTTTTTTCTCACATTTCAGACTCATGTTTACCAAGTGTTCCTTTGAGAATGGTTCCTGAACGGACACAGAAACAAAACACTTTGTTTCCTCGTCACACGAGCGGAGCCATGGAATGGTATTCTCACATTATTTTGAACGAGCCTGCAGTGTTTTGTATTATTCATGTGGCAGAACTCGCGCACATGACCCAGCAACTCATTTGGCCCTCATTCCCKTGCAGCCAGTGGTCTCTGAGGGTTTAATTAAACTGTGTCGAAGCAGTGGCCCATCTCCCGCCATTGCCTTAAATCCTATAGCCCACCTCATCTTCTTGAAGAAAATCACAAACCCGCCTTCTGACTTTAGCTCAGAGAGGACACGTGCTTCCTGAAGAGCGAAGGCAGAGTTACAGCACAGAGTCACGCCTCGTGTCAATCATCATCTGTATTTTTGAAAGCCAAAAGTGCCTGGAGTGGAGTGGAGTGGAGTGTCTGTTGACGCCACATGGAGGAAATTAAGTCAAATGTAAGTATTTTACATTTAGGAGATGAATGAGAATACGAAGGGAGAGCACCTAACACAAMCTGTCATTGAAAATCTCAAAGTTAGGGAGTGGATGAAAATTAAGATGGTGGTGGAAGATTAGGATGTTTTTTGTTGGTTTTATTTTTTTGTTAGGGTTATTACATCAAATCTTTCAGTAAGAGACTCAGTATGTGACCAGTGTGCTGTAACATGATCTGGTGAAACTACGGAGCCCGCGAGTGGACATGGGAGATTTTATTTTTCTTTTGCGTTCCCACGCAACAGTTTTGTGTTACCTCGCAATTCTTTTGCGTTCCCTCGCAAAAGTCATTTATCACTGTTGTGCCTGCCGGTTTATTAACACGTCCACGTGTTCACCGTTAGCGAGTTAGCCTACTGCTTTAATTCAGCTTCAGAATGAATATATCACACAACCACGCATGGAAGTATGTCATATGCTGATATTTTAACACAGTGAAGCCACGCAACATCAATGTCAATTTCACCAACTGTGGTGACACATCCCTTTTGGTAACTGGATATTTCAAAATAAAAGTCTGATTTAATTCAGTTCATATACAAAACAAACCTTTACGYGGGAACGCAAAACAATTTTGCGAGGTAATGCAAAAGTATTGCGAGGTAACGTATTGCACAGGAATGCAAAAGAAAAAGCATCCCCCCCATGTCCCCTCGCGGGCTCCATACAGGCTCCGTGTGAAACTGCATCAGAGATGGACAAATTTAAAGTAACATCTTAAGACGGACAAGAGTTTTGTCTTTTTAAATAATGTTTTTCCAACAACAACAACAAAAAAAAAGTCAAATATGATTGTTGGATGAGGACTGTTGTTGTTCTCACCTACATTTTTACAGAGACAGAGTGAGGAGCAGTAGGCTAAGCAGCACAATAAAATGAAAACAAAAATGAAACGAAAATGTGGGTTTTACAGTTTCTTTTACTCATCCCGTTTGAGGCAAAATCCTGCAGATGGAACTCARTTCTTTACTCTAATGTAGACAAAAGACAATGTGGTTGCACTCAGTAAACACATTTTCATTTTTCAATGTTATTTTTATTCACGTCTTGAAACCCTTTTTCTCCCCATAAAGTCAAAGCCCACAACACGTCTAGTAGTATAAATGTGCAGTGTGACACAAAATTCACTAAAACCTCTTTTTCTTACTTTTTATGTGAAAAGAGTTACTTATTGTTTTAAAATTATACAATCACTACCACTTTTAAGAGACAGGTTAACTTCCTGGTTAACTCAGCAACAAACATGACTGATATGTTATTTCAAAACGTTATCCTTTTAAATAGGCTATAGTTATTCTGTTGTACTTAAAAACATGGACCAAGTAACCTATTTAGCCTACGACAAGAACAAAAATTAAAAAACAAAAACCAGCAACAACAAACTAGCTCAAACTAGCTGTCTGGTTTAAGCTAGCCTGTTAGTGGGCCTGTTAGGAATGTAGATGGACTCTAAAGAGCAACCAGTGGTGGGCATACAGCTACCCAACAAGTTAGCTTCCCTCATAATCTTCTAAATAAATAATAAATATTTTCTATATAGCTTTGCTAATGCTAAATTGTTAAACATAAAAAATAGCAGGAGCAAATGTTAAACAAATAAAAATGCCAATGGACAAAGTTAAAAAATTAAAGATGGTGAAAAAGCTAATCCACTAAAGGAAAAATTACTTCCTCTATAAGCCAATAGCTGTTAACTGATTAGTAGTCACCATGCCCTGTTAGCAACAAATGCAATATGTTAAAACCAATAGATAAAATGAAAGTTTGTAAACGTTTATAGGTGCTTCTGATGGGAAATAACCTGTGTGAAACTGAACGATCCCTGGATTCGTTTTTTTGTTTCTTTATTTCCAGCAGTATCTAACTGGTTTGTTTGCAAATGTTGCTTGCAAATTCAATATCAAACAGGCTTTGAGCAGTCAGGACTGCAGAGTTGTTGCCGAAATTTTGTATCCCTTTAAGAACTGTGGATTCACAGTGACTAATTAAAAAAATACCCATGTAAAATTTGCTTGAGTAACTGTAGTTTCTGCACCATATTTTCAGGATTTGGAAGGTGGTAGAAGCATCAAGCTGGAAAAAAAAGGCACCCAGGTGTGCTTTATTTTGGATCAGCTGTCAGACAGGGATTTAGGTGCAGCTAAATTGGGGTGAGGTTTTTTTTTCTTTCTGGGGTGCGATCAGCAGAATAGGAGAAAGGAAGCATTTTAAATAAACATTTCTTTCACTACCTCTAGCCAAAAGCGTAGAAGAAAAAAAATTACACCTACACTTATAACACACACTTATATAACATGAAMGATTTTCTCTGGTTGTCCAATAAATAGGTGTGAAACATAAATCTGTCGATGCTTGACTGAAAGAATGATTTTTTTTTTCTTTTTGCCCTACTTGGCAAGGAGCTTGTTCTTGACCCTCGTCCAACTAAAATCTTAACTCTTCTGTGATTATTTGAGCTGCTTTGTGAATTTGATTGCGCTGCTTTTCATGCCAGTCACAGTATCGCTGCCCATCATGGGAATGAACACAAGATTTATGTGAGCCGAAACAAAAGCTTTGAGTTTTGTGCTTGTTTACAACTTGGATTGTGAGCACAAATCTGAAGCATTTTTAGAAACTGCAGAACACCAGAACTATATAGCCAGAAGCAACTGTGAGAATAGAGTAAGCAGAGTTTTTTTTTATTTGTCAGCGAAAGAGACTTGCCCGGGCAGTCTGAGTGTCACTTAATCCCTGGATAGAGGAGCTCAGACAGGAAACTGGGGGTGCAAAATGTATTTTTGATGGGTCACAGCTCAGAGGATATACAGAAAAAAGAAAGTTTGGATGCACTCTGTAAAAGAAAATCCACAATGTGTTTTGAAAAAATACTCGGCTAAAAGATGCTGGGAATAAAAGGCGTCTCTAAAATATCATTGCGGTTCGTTTTTCATCATTATGATCTCCAGTTAAGCTATAAAAATACTCAATTCACACCTGGCTCTATGATACTATTTACTTTAACTCGGTCCTCTCCATCCTTCACAATCGTTTCCTCTCCTTCCTCTTTATCGTCTGTCAAAGTCGTGTTTAATGGAATTCCAAAGACGTTTAGCTGGAGCCCGTCACATCTCAAGAAGTTCCACAGCTTAGAACGAAACCTTACAGCTGCAGATTTGAGGAAAGTAATTCAAGACAGAGATAATCAAAATCTTACCTGGGATGTTGCGGTGGTTGTTGTTTTTTCTGCGTGGAATTATCGAGGGCTGGTTTTCTCAAATGCTGAATGTTACTTTGTGCTGAAATGATTGGGGATGGGTTTCAAAGGAGACAATAAACAAGTAAAAGCAGAGTGTTGATTGGAGAGAAAATCTGAATGGAATTAAAAAAAAAAGTTTTAAGTTCAAACTGTGAGACAAAAATATAGAG